AATTGACCCCCAAAATTGCATTTTTATGTTCGAAGGTCTAATTTTTTATGGTTTTAGGGATTTTGCACCTGAGTCTGACATCGTAGAAGGACCGTTCTTGCATCAGATTGTAAGTATTCAATTTCTTTATCATTTTTCTAAATACCCTTTGTGATTATCTCACAAATTTAGCCCTAAAATTGCATTTTTACGTTCGAATGACTAATTTTTGATGGTTTTAGGGATTTTGCACCTGAGTCTGACATCGTAGAGGGACCATTCTGGTATCAGATTGTAAGTACTAAATTTCTTTATCATTTGCCTAAACAACTTTTGTGATTGTCTCACAAATTGACCCCCAAAATTGCATTTTTATGTTCAAATAACAAATTTTTGATGGTTTTAGGGATTTTGCACCTGAGTCTGACATCGTAGAAGAACCATTCTTGCATCAGATTGTAAGTATTAAATTTCTTTATCATTTTCGTAAATAAGTTTTGTGATAATCTCACAAATTGACCCCGAAAAATTGCATTTTTATGTTCGAAAGACTCATTTTTGTTGGTTTTAGGGATTTTGCACCTGAGCCTGACATCGTAGATGGACCATTCTTGCATCATATTGTCAATATTTAATTTCTTTTTCATTATCTGCTTGTGTGTTTTCTGTAATAAATAAAATTTTTAAGTATTTCTGATTTTAATTTGTTCTGTTATTTCAACCCGATCACATATTAAACGATCCCTTAAACCATTTATTTTAAAAAGTGCAAGCTAGCGCCATCTGTTTATTGGAAACTGAAACTACTGAAAGTTTTGAGCTTCGAGCCGTTACCACTAGAGGCAGCACATTACTAGTTACCGCGAAAACTTTATCAGTCTCCTCAACTTTCTGCTCTCCTAATATTCAATCTTTATTTTCTCGACTCTGAGAGGCAAAATGACACAAAATTTGGACTCGAAACAGTCGAAACTCAGGTTTTGGTATTCGGATCGCAGAAAGTGTAAGGAGGCTTGGCGGTAACTAATGGCGGGTAAAATTAATGTTTAAAATTCATTTATCAGCAAGTGCAGCTTCTGTATAATTGGAATTTTTAAATTCTGTTTTCGAATTTTGTAAGCTAAACTTCTATATCGACTATTTAGGTAATTATTTTCCTAACATTGACGTTTAGGCCCTATTTGCAATTTTAATTAAAAAACTGTTTTTTTACATGCCAGTAGGGCCTTAATCTATAAGTGTGTTACTGGTTTCCGATTCAGAATTTAATCTACTTTCAGAATCCGAAAACAGAATATAAAAATTCCAATTATTACAGAACCTGC